AGGATGTGGGACTGCAGTTAGTTACTCTTTTGGTTTGGTTTGGAGGTTTTTCAGGGGGACAGGTAATTCAGCTTATTTTTTTTATTTTTTTAAGGGAGGTACTGGTGATTGAACCCAGGACCTCGTGCATGCTAAGCACGCGCTACCACTGAGCTATACCCTCCCCCCTGTTAGTTACTCATTGATATGGACATATTTCAGTATTTTAACCACTGGTACAACTGAAACCATTCATCAGTTAGCCCTGTCCCCAAGAAGACAATAAATCCTGACTTTCCTACAGTCTAGGGTCATTGGGATGGACTGGTTCAGAGCTGAAAGGACAGTGGGTTCCTCACACACACACAGGCACACATTCAGCCCATCTAATTGGCCCCCTCAGTGTAGGGGTTCTGAGTGGACCTGTAGGATTTCTGTCTTGGCTGAATCAGTGCACTGACGGGCAGAGAAGCAGGTGTGGGAGTACCCGGGCTGGTATTTGCTGGAGATATGTGAGCCAGAGGCAAGCGAAGGTCAGATTCTGAGGCAAGGTCAACCTGGAAGGTCAGCTTCTAGGGAGAAGGCGGGGAGCAGGAACAGGAACTGGAACAGAGCCAACAGCAGGGGACAGGTGCCAGGGCCCGGGGATCTCTTGGTGGTGTGCAGGGGGCAAAGCCTATGGCCAAGTCTAGGGTGAGGAGGCTGTTTAGGCCTGACCTCTTGACAGTGCTGCCAGACCCCAGGGAAGAGCTAGGAAGAGGCCACAAGAGTCCACACTAGCCACATTCAAAGCCAACCCGTTCTGCCAGTGATGAGTGAATACACCTCTCCTCAGTGAGAAGCTTAAATAACTGCCAGTTTCAAAGACAGCAGATTTCTGATGGAAGATGGGTGACAGTCAGGAATAACTTCAAGAAGACTTAGACTCAAGGGGACATGGTGGAAAGAGAAATCTGCATGGAACACAGGGGCTCCAGTTTCCTCTGCCATTAACAGGCTGTGTGACCCCAGGTGAGTCACTGCCCATCTCTGGGCATTGCCTCTGCCTGCACTATGAGGGCTTTGGCTTTGGCCTCACAAGGATCTTGAGGGTAGAGATCACGATCAGAGAAGAGCCAGCCTGGAGTGAGTTGAGGAACAGCCAGGCAGGGGCTGCTCAGAGTATATCACAGTGTGATTTAGCTCCACCATCTGGGAAGGCTCCTGAAATTCCCAATCCAGAAAATGCAGTGGGGGAAAGGTTGTTTGAAACTTGGCCTGCTCCCATTAATGCTCAGACATGCATTGAGTCCAGAAGCTAGAGGCAGAATTATCTTCAAGCTAAAGAAGCCTCAGACCTCACAGAGGCCCAAGCTATGTGTTCACATTTTTTTCCTTGTGGAGAGTGTCCCTAAACTGTATAAGCTTCAAGCCCCACAAAGCCTAGCCCTAGCCCTGCCAGTTGCCCTGTGATCTGGAGCCATTATTACAGCAGGTGGAGGACACTGACAAGCACTGTCCTCATCTGATAAGCAATGCCCAGTGGCAGAAAGCAGGAGGCTACACCCGTGGTGGCTTGACATGTACTTATTCACCTGAGCTTGATCAAAAAATAATAATACCACACACAAATATCTCACATTCACCTTCATTATCCTAGTTCATCCTCCCCGCAAGCCTGTGAGTTGGGCCAGACCGGTCTTACCACTTCTCATTTAGATGCCAAAACTGAAGCTCAGAGAAGCTAAGAGGCCTGTTCAAGTCTGCAGCACTGGATGGAGACAAAAGCAAGATGCAAACCCAGGACTTTCTTAGGACCAGCCCAGGGCTCTTCAGTTCCCCAATTCAGGACCAGAGACAGTCATCCTAAAGTAAAGCATAAAACGATTCACCCCAAATCTGCCGGGAGGCTTCTGAGGCACAGACACCTCAATCCTGGTCCCAGGGACAAAGGAGGCATGTGTGGGCATATTGCACAAAACCAAACTTGGAATCGTAGGCCAGTCCCGTCCCCATCATGCCTTAGAGGACGTTAGCCCTGTCTGACATCTTGATCCTGTAACCTCAGAAGCCAGAACCACCCAGCGAAGCCACTCCTGAACTTCGGGAAAAAGAGGATTTTTCCATTTTCCCCATATTTTCTTCCTGAACTTTGTGTTCCTACTCACAACACAAGTCATTTAGATCAGCTATATTTATACTAAATATAAACATAACCGCTCAACCATGGTGTAGTTCAGTTGGCAGTAATTTCTCTACAGTATCCAGACAGTAAACAACAATGAGAGATTCAAGGGCCCAAGATACACACATGAACATACACACACACACACACACACACACACACAATCACACACACGAGCATAAATACACACGCCTCCCTGTGACAACTCCAGTCTCTCAAAGCCACAACTATGTGGAAGAGGGGGATCCAGCCACCACCCCAAATATGAATCAGATCTTTAGACATGGTTTGATCTAGCACGACAACCCCACCCAGGAAACCTCAGGACTAAACTCACCAACCAAAACAACGGACAAGGAAAACAGCTGCAGGGTGAGCTGCCCAGATCCCTTCATTTGCTTTATTCTAACGAGGCCACCTGGGACCCCAGTATAAATAGGACCAGGTCTCATTTGAGAAACTGTGCACGTGGCACCTCTAGGGCAGGGTTTCAAACCTAGGGAGACTGCCAAGGAGCAGTTTGGAGGAACCAGGCTGAACTGTGACCTCGCCTCAGAAAGTGTTGACTGCGCTGTCAAACCGGATCACCCAGGGTACTGGGATTCATTGGAGGGCAGCTTTGAATGTTCCTACAACTTTCTGGCTTCAAAAAGGGGAGCCTTCTCTATTCTCCTGTTATTGAGCGAGATGGACTCTCTTCCAGACCTCTTATAGACTCCAATCAAGTCCTTTCCTTCTTTTCTGATGGGTGAGTCTAGACCCTTCCTATGCTATCCTTGGTGGATTTTCCTTCCTCTGTCTAATCCCTGCTCACTCCTCTGGATCTGCTGCAAACAGGTGCAGTCTGCTCTTCCAAAGTGTCACAACCGGGATTTAGGGTTTGCACTGGGGGTCAGAGAGGGAAATTCCCATTTGATTCCATTGAAAATGTCCTTTATTTTATGGCTTTCGTAGCCGCCAGCCTCCAAGATGGCCATATGATGGTTCCGCTCCTGAGGTTCATGCCCCTGTGTAGTCCCTTCACACCGTGGGCTTCCTTGAGTGATCAACAGAATATTATGGAAATGATGGGATGTAACCTCAGAGCCCCTGCCCTAAAAGACATTGCAGCTTCCCCCTAGAATAACTACTAGGATAACTTGGCAGAGTTCCACATGGCTCTCTGTACCCTGTCCTCTTGGAGCACTTGCTCCAGCAGAAGCCAGCTGCCATGTTGTGAGCAGCCCCATGGAGACGTCCACATGATGATGGCTTGAGACTTTCTGCTAAGAGCTAGCATGAACTTTCCATCCTCCCATCCCCATCATGCCTTAGAGGACTTTAGCCCTGTCTGATGTCTTGATCCTGCAACCTCAGAAGAGACCCAGAGCCAAAACCACCGAGCGAAGCCACTCCTGAATTCCTGGCCAACAGAATATATTTGAGATAATAAATGTTTACTGTTCTAAACCCATAAGTTTGGGGGTAATTTGTTATGCCACATTAGATAACTAATGCAATTAATAATATTATACATCAAACTGAACTGCTTTGCTGTACACCTGAAATTAACATTGCAAATCAACTATACTTCAATAAAAAAATTTTTAATAAAAAATAATAATATTATACAACAAAGCAAAAAGGGACAGAGTACAGAGAACCGTTTAGAACTCTGCCAAATGACGCTCGCTCTGGTGGGACGCCCAGGCCCCCATAGCCTAGTGATGGGCACATAACCCCTGCTTGGCACACTGCACTCTCCACCTCCTTGGCGCCTTTCTAACTGAAGCTTCTGGAAATTTGAGTTGAATTTTTTCTTTCCCTTGCAAATTAGAGCATCCTGAGGTAAGAGGATCTCACACAGAGAAAGGCAGCAAAATGTAGAAAAGATGAGGAGGAGAAAGTTAAGTGCTCTGTACTTTCGTGCAGAGAATATACAAGCAGGAAGTTCCTCGTGCATGTCCTTAACTATGTTTGATGTGAATTCCTGCACACTGCTCTTTTGAAGGGAGAGGGTGATACCATTTGCTTCCATCTATTTAAGTAAGTGGATCAAACTCCGTGTTGGATTTTATGGAGCTGTGTTCTTGTTGTTGTTTTTTTCCCTGATACAATTCAAGAAAAGGGGAAGAAGTCTGTGTCCATGTTCTGCATATGGAACATAGATAGATGTGGGGGCACAAGAGATGGAGGAAATATGGTCCTTCTCTTTCAATAACTTACATCTAAATAGACAATCACCTCTACTGGGAAGAAATATCACAATCACTAGGGCACACCGCACACACTGTCACAGCTTCTGAAGTCCTCTGGCCAGACCTTCCAATCTGAGTCTGAAGTAAACTCAGCCTGTAAACTTCTATGGGAGGCACCTTGTAAAACCCGCATTTGCCATCAACTTTTTAAATCAGTTGCCACTGCCATGTTATATGAAATGCTGAATGTTGAAAGCCATGGTAGCATTCAGTCATTTAGAAAACTGCAGCAGGGAACTCATGGTGCCAGTGCATGGTTTTGAATTTTTCACAGTATTACTTCTCTCCTTTTTAAAAACTGAGATATAATTCACGTACCGTAAAGTTCACCATTTAAAGTATTCAATTCTGTGGTTTTTAATACAAGGTTGCTCAACCATCACTGCCATCCACATTTTCATCACATTCCAAAAAAACCCTGTACCTCAAACTATTAGGTATAAAATAAACTGCAAAGACATATTGTACAACATGGAGAATACAGCCAAAATTTTGTAACTATAAATGGAGTTTAACTCTTTAAAATTGTGAATCACTCTATGGGAGCCCTGTAACATACAATATTGTTCGTCAACTATACTTCAATTTAAAAAAAAGACAATTAAATATAGTTATCTTACCTTTAACATCCTATTAAATATGTCCTAAATATTGGACGAAACCCAAAGAAGAGGTAGAAGACATCAAATGGCATTGCTGACGTGACATCCAACTGTTGAAAGAACACATTCACAATTATGTTATGCTTACATGCTCTTTTGGACATGAACTGATTTGTATCAATGTATATATAAACGCTTACCAGTCACCATGAATTATTTGTTGTTTGTATTTAACAACATTGCCTCCAGCTAAATGTGCATGGTGTCACTGAAAGGTGTATTAGCACCATGAAAACAAGAACACTATTTCGTAGCCTACTTCCAATGAATTTAATTTTCAACTTCATGCATCTCATCGTCTCCTTAAGTGCTGCATTTTCTGAAATTTTTATTGAGCTGTCACATATATTTCAGGGATGGCACGGTTGCTAATGTTAAAATACATTTTAATGGTGTTTTTAATATGGGGCTCTTGCACTGAAAATCAAGTCCATTCTTGATTTTATTTGAAATCATTGGACATTCATTGCAGTGATAGATTTTTATGTTTCAGCCAATTCTCCAGGGTTCAGGGCTGATTTTATTGCTGGTGGTTCATCCAGACTCCTCAGTTCTTTCTACTGCTATCTATTCTGGACCGTATTGCTAACAACAAACTGCTGTGAACGTATCTATCAGAGACTGCAGGCTAAGAGAGAGGAGACAGAAGAAATTAGTCCCATTTACAGTTAATCAGCAGCTCTGATGGAAGAAGGTATTCAAAGTACTATTATGGCTAAAACCCTGGTAACTGAAATGACAACATCACACTTGCATACTTTCCTGATTGCAATGATAACAATAAAAAAATTCCTGTAAGTAAAACTAAATACCCACACCTGCAGCAGTCACTTCCCATTCCTCCCTCCCCTCAGCCCATGGCAACTGCTAATTTCCCTTCTGTCTTTCTAGATTTGCCTATTCTGGACATTTCTTATAAAGGGAATCATGCAAAGTGTGATGTTTTGTGACTGGCTCCTTTCACATAACACGTTTTCAAGGTCCATTCATGTTGTAGCAGAATCAGTACTTCATTTCTTTTTATTGTTGAACAAGATTGCCATTATATAGATATACTCTGTTGAGTGTATCCATTCATCAGTTGATGGACACACCGGTTGTTTCCAATGAGCAGTTTTTTAAAGAGCCTGATCTACATCAAGTTCAAAATTACTATAAATGCTATTTCCTGTCCCTCCTCTCCTTGCCTTAGAACTCCCCCAGGAAGTGGTGACTCTCTCGTTGCAGTGAAGCAGTAGATACCATGTTCTGTAAGCATGAAATCAGGCACATAGCTCTGCATTGATCACAGGAAGTCCCATGTCATGAAATTTTCCCCTAAGGCGTTTTTCTTGGTGTTTGGGGAATGTAGGTATTACTGCAAGTCTACCCCAGCGAGCTTGTTAGAATCCCCCCCACAGCCCTGGGTCCTGCAAAGAAAGCCCTTCACCAGCTCCTGTTTCCAAGCTTATTGATGGCAGATGCTTCTAACCCAGTCATTTAAAGCAAATGACTACCCTGGCCCAGCCTGGAGATGAAGTAGATGACCATTCTTGACTGGCCACACGTGGAGAGGAGGCAGAGCTGTGTGTGAGCAGGAGAGCGAAGCTGATGACCTGGAAAGAGTTCTTTTAAGAAACCACATTATTCATTCAGTCAGCCAGTCATTCTGTAAGTATCCAGCCCTCCTGTGGTCCTGGCCCCGCACCAGGCACTGTTGGGGATAGCATTTTTTTCACTTTCCTTTTTTTTTCCAGAGTCTTTTTCTAAAAATAATTCTTATTTTTTTACTGATGTGTAGAGGATTTACAATGTTAGTTTCAGGTGTACGACAAAGTGATTCAGTTATACATATACATGTTTTTTTCAGATTCTTTTCCATTGTAGCTCATTACAAGAAACTGAATATAGTTCCCTGTGCTATACAGTAGGTCCTTGTTTATCTATTTTATATATAGAAAAATGTTATCTATTGATCCCAAACTGCTAATCTATCTCATCCCCTCTCTTACCCCCTGGTAACCACAGTTTGTTTTCTATGTCTGTGAGTCAATTTCTGGTTTGTAAATACAATTTATATATACATTTTTAGATTTCACATATAAGCGACATCATATGACGTATCACTTTCTTTTAAAGATCTTATGGCCTGGACAGGTAGACTATGAAATATCACAGTAAAAGACAACCAAAAAGCCCCAGCTTCTATAATATAGACAGGAACACTGCTTTGCACACAGAAAAGAAGTGAATATTATGACAGTGAGACCAAAGTCCGAAGTCTTGAAAGGGAAGATAACTCCTGATAAGAGAAGTGTAAAGAAATCACAACTCTGGTTTATTTACTAGGAAATTAAAAAGAAATAGAAAAATCTGGTGTGCCAGTTATTACCTCTTAGCTGCCAACCCACCCTTTCTCCTCTGCCTGTGACACTGGCTGGGCTGCATACAAGCACTTTTCTTCTTTGCCAGCTGCTCCCTGACAGGCTCCACCAGGTAATCAGGTAAGCGCAGGAGCCTGAAGGGCTGGAGCCGGACATGGGATTTGCTCCTTCCTGTTTGCTACCTGTTCCTGACAGCATCACCCCAGCAACACATCCTCACCTGGCGTTCCTTCCAGGAAGCAGCAGAATCACCTTCAGTGCACTTCCCTTGGCGGCATCAGCAGGGTTCAGACAGTAGTCCCTCGTCGGAGGCTAAGCTCCAGCTCCACAGAACCCCTCATCCATGGTCTAAGTTTTAGTCATTCCAACCTCCTTGTTTCCTCAGCCCAGGGCTGGCAGGAGCTTCCCACAGTTCCTACATCTATGACTGGTTAGTATTCTCATTTTGCCTTGTCAGTTACCTTTTTTACAACTCGTCAACAATGATTTATTTTGAACTCTGTTAAAATAAATGGGGTGATTTCCACCTCCTGATGACCTCTTGACTGATTCAGTGGACCCAGACGAGCCGAGACTGATCCTGTTGATTGGGGGTGACCACTCGTGAAGAACCATCCTATTTTGGCCAGGGGATGGCCTGGAGTCAGTGCAGGCAAGACCACAAGCCACAGGAGAGGGTTGCAACCATGCCCTGGGAGCCAGAGTTAGGAAGACTTTCATTCAATAGATAAATTCAGTTTTGTAGGAAGAAATCTCAAGAAGGAATGATTGAATGAATGCTGGGTGGACAGCGTGCAGCCCACTGCAGCCTCTGCATAGACATTCTTGTCTGGATAATAGTTCAGAATCCCGGAAGCCATACTGGGAAGGCTGTACCCATCAGTCTGTTCCTTGTAGTGTCTTTAGTTGAGTACCTGGTAGAGTCCTTACTTATTCTTTTCATGTTTCTTTCAAAAGACTTAATTTCTGACCTAGAGCTTGTAGCAAGTTCAGTCACTTAGACAAAGTGAAAGGATAAACAGATCAGTAAGCAGAAACCACTTATGATAAAACTCACTGACTGGTTAGTTGACTACAGTAACCTATAAGGTCAGAATGCAGAAGAGTAGAATCTTCTATTGGGTGTAATACATGATCATTTCATAGCAATTCTGGAGTAAAAATGTATTCTGGTCTTTTAGCACATTGACAAATCTCAGGGTCCTTCAAATCCATCCAATAAAGTGTGTGTTGCAATTGATACTGGTTGGCAAGAGTATTTTAAATATAGGAAAAAATCTTAAAAATCAATTTGTTGGGGGTTATTATGTCAGTCTACATACCTGAACATGAGTATGTGTCTATCCATCCTAAAAGGCGAACAGCCACTGAGGTGACCCTTTACCTGTTCAGAACTGACTCAGGGGAGTTGAGCTTTTCTTTTTTATTGATAGTTCCTCCCCTTATTGTGAGCTTGATAAACACAGCAGCTCTCACTATCAGTTGAGTGGTAAAAGCATGGAGATTACCAAACCTAAGTATTACCAATACCTAAGTATTTCTAGCAATTTTCTTTTATAAGGCAGAGGAGTAGATTTTGGGGGGCTACCAAACAGCATCTAGGAAGTGCCAAATGAGATTTGCATGTAAACAAGGTTTTGCCAACTTTCTTCTGAATTTCAGGGCAAGGAAACATCAAAAAGAATCATCAGTGGAGATTGAGCACTGCTTTCCAACAGAAGCATTGCTGCTTGATAATAAGGAATACTTGGAGCTTGGCTAACTGGCAAACAAGAGTAACAGTGCAATATTTTAAATAAACACAGCAGACGGTAACATCATTATCATGATTAGGTGATATAGCTCTTTCAGAAGTGAGAAACTTTCAATGTTTGTTTCAAAGCACTATAAATTAAGCTCTCAAGGGAAAATACTCAGCTGGCATAAGGCACCTCTGCTACCTGGGCAGATTACACAGAAAGTAATTTTTTTTACTGCTTTTAGTGAAAATTACACTAAAAACTGCAAGATCAATTTTGAACCATGCATTTTCTCTTCATCACATATAATTTATGTTGTGTACTCATTTTAATATTTATATATTTAAACATACAATTATCAAGTTAGATCACAATCTTAGTTTTAAGATATAATTAACCTTACATTACAAGACAAAGTATAATATATATTGTATCGACTTTACCACTTCATTGTTTTTTTTTTTTTAAAGGTAAAACCTAGGCTTGGAGACTCAGTACTTTTCTATCTCTCTGTGAATTTTAATTTTCTTAATAATATTCCAAGTAGCCAAACACTTCTCACTAATTAATTATAATATTAGTCTAAAGTCTTAAGGTTGTTTGAGGATCTTATAAATTATGTTTAAGTTGCAATTACAAAATAACACAATCATTGTTAATATTAAAAGTTTGTCAGAGAGATGACAGAAATTTTCTACGGATATTGAAAGTGAAGTAATGAAATCCAAAAGATTTGAAGCATTGTCTGAAATTCACAAGAACCAATCCATTTCTTTTCTTTTTCACTAACACATTTGTTGTCATCATTCAATTTAGTTGAATGCACATATTTACATTCTCATAACCTGATATATTTTGTTGAAATAATAATTTGTCTAACCCATATAACCAGTATCAAAAAATCAGAAAGTCCAAATTAATTAGGTTTTCCAAAACAAAACAAAACAA